TCAGCATGGGGGTGAGTAGAAAATGAAGGCTAAACATGTTTTGGGTGTACTATTCCTTTAACATCTGTTCAGCAAATATTCACATTTTGGACAGAGAGGATAGGTGGTTTGAGAGGGGCGTGAAGGAAGCCAACCTTAAACAGAAGAGGTGGACTCAGATTTCAGCTTTCAAAAACCTACAATTGAGTGAATGAGTCGATTCCTTACCGCTATCATCACAACCCTAACCCCATTACAGGGGACCTGAGCACCTCGCCTCTTCAGCCAGGCCCACAATTCCCTCTAACGACCCCCCTCTCAGAGACGTAGACAGGTTTTGGGTATTACAGGCTAAGGAAGAAACAAAAAAACCCGTTCCAAAGGGGTGGACCCACTCGTCAGGTTAATTTGCATGTTTCTAAGCCAAAACAAGGCTTTGCTTTGGTTCATTCTATAAAGCCTTGAACTAAACGCTATTTCTGACATTTTGAATTGAAAAACCTTCCCGGATGGAAGAGAAACGTCTTCAAATCTGGAGACAGAGTGCAGTAGATTGTTTTTTAACTTTTTTGGAATCTATACAGAGGTTCTTCTTTCCTTTCCAAAGAAACAATAAAACATTTTCTACTCTGATTCATTTAAAATCTACCTGATTTTTACCTTCACTGGTGTCACACGGGTCTGTGTTGCAGGACTGGTACCGAACTCTCTGTCCCTCACAGTATTTCCCTCCATTCTGAGGCACAGGGTCAGCACACTCTCTGTAGGAGAACTCCACCCCACCTCCGCATGTCCTGGAGCACTGCTGCCACGGTCCCCACGAGCTCCAGCTGCCATCCACAACCGTCTGTGGTTAAGCAGAGAAAAAGAGAAGACGCAGTCAGAGTGGTTGGTTAGAGCTCCCAGCCAAAGGCTGCACAACCCTAACCGCAGTCTGGGCTTCTGGGTTTGAGGCTGCTCAGTGAGTCGGAGTGCTGAGACGCAGGGCTAAATTTGTGTTGAAGCTCGGCACGCGCCCCCTGTCTCCATCAGCCCACATTCCTGCCGCATGTGTCACTCATTGCTGGTGGAAGCCGCTGTGCTTTCAGACTTTGAGTAGAAACTGAATGTGTTTTTGTTTTCTGGCGAGGCTTCGGCTCCCCTTTGAGAAGGTTTTATGAGTTTGGATCAACAACCATCCCAGCTGCTACCTCCTAATGGATCCATACAGAGATGTGAGATGAGGCACTGCAGCTCGAACAAAAGCATGATTGAAAAAAAAGAAACATCACTGTTCACACTGCAAAAAATGTAAATCTATGTAAGTAACTTTCTTGAAATCAGTGCATTTTTTTGTCTTGAATTGAGCAGGTATGTGAGACACTTTGCCAATTTACATTTAAAATAAGAAAAAAACTAATGCACTTTCTTATTCCAAGTGCAAAATATCGAATTATCTTATTTTAAGGGTGAAAATGTTTCTTCCATTGGCAGATTATCTTATTTACCTACTAAAATTAAAGGTAAATACATCTATTTTAAGAATTCTTTACTCATTTTTAGACATTTTTGCAGTGCAAGACACAATTAAATTTCTATTTTAGAATACTTTCCGCAATCCTGTGACAATGTATTCCAATTCTTTTTCATTTTGTTTATCCAAATATTTTGTTGATATATATTTTTAAAGTATTTTGTAAAGTCGAGAAGCAGTTTGGTTTTCCACCAGCAGAGAAGCAGCTTGGAGCCATGTCAGTAGTTGCTCCTCCCTCAGTTCTGGGTCATGGACCCTGCTGCAAACCACACAATCACTGCAGTTCTTACTTCATATAAACCACTTCATTTATAAGTTGTGTTTTAATCTACAATCTGTGTTTAGAAAGGGCCAGTAAAATGTCAGCAGGTATTGGTGCAACGTTGCCATTTCTGAACTCGGCTTAGTGTTTCTAAACCGCACTCCACACAGAGGTTACACACATTGTTTCAAACAGCATTTAACAAAAACCCACCTGTTAATATAAGAGCTGACACTGTTTATAAATAGAGTTTCAAATTGTTTTTGTAGATTGGGCTGAAAATAGCAACTGTGATTGCAGCTCAGTACCCTGCTCTGTCCTCACTGCACTGAGAGCGGGACCAAGATATACGACACACCATAAAAGTAGCAGCACAGAGGGTCTAGAGTAGCAGTTTTAAAGAGTTTTTGGTATTAATGTTTATTACGCAAGTAGAAGTATAAGTCCTACTGTTTAAAATCACTTTTGTAGAAGTTGGAAGATCAAGTTAAGTGTTTTACTCCAGTTAAAGTGTAAAAGTACCATTTTTAAATCTACTTAAAGTATAAAAGTAAAAGTAATGCAGTAAAAAATGTTAAGGCCAGAAGCTTTACTGCGCTAGGCTATTAAAGGAGGAAAGGATAACTTCCTTAGACTTAATTTTCTAAGCTTTTGGTAACAGTGTCAAATTTAACTTTGCATCACCTTGAAAAACTATTTATTTTGGTCTGTGGTGAGCAACAAGTTGGGGCAGCACCGAGTCCAACCACAAAGAAATGAATTGTCTGGATGTATGGAAGTAAATCTGTGTCGCTGGGACTTGAATTAAAAATGCCACTAAAATTTAAATGTTGTATGTTTATACTTACTGTTTCAGTGTTAAAATATATTCAGAACACATTTTTGACCTAAAAAGAAGTTCATTGTCATTATTTCTACAGTTGAAATGTCATTTATTTGCTCTTCAAGCTAAAAATTCACATTACTATTTCAAAGTGATTACATTTTCAATACTTATTTTTTAGTTAAATTTTTCAGTGTTAAAAAAATCTGCATATAAAAAGATTCAACCTTTCAAAATTCTAACTCAATTGTTTTTTCTTATGTGTTTTTATTGTGTAGAAATAATGACAATTAATTTTTTTTAGGTCAAAAATGTGTTCTGAATATATTTTAACACTGAAACAGTAAGTACAAACATACAACATTTAAATTTCAGTGGCATTTTTAATTCAAATCCCAGCGACACAGATTTACTTCCATATGGATGAAACTAAATATTTTGATGTTTTCTTTTTTTGTTTTTTTTTAAAATACCGACAGGCCAGAATGAAAATGAGTTTCAATAAAACAAATTAACGAGTCCAGTTATAAAATGTAAGGATAGAAAGTAGAGATAATTGGAAAAAAATGACTTAGACTTATTTATTTTGTCATTTTGTGTGCAGGAGTGTATGCAAAAATAAATTTCCTTTAAAATAGCTCTTGACAATTTAATTTTTTTGAAGTGCAGCCTTGAAAACAGTAATAAATACATAAAAAAGTAATATATATATAAATAAGACTGTATATTTGCAGTTCTAACCTTAACTTTTTTTATAAATAAAATAAACCATTTTACACAACAAATGTAAGGAGTAGAAGTAAAAATTTCTCTAAAAAATAATTATTACAGTAAAGTATAGATAGCAAACATTTCTACTTAAGTAAGGTAATGTAGAATTTGTACTTTGTAACTTGACACCTCTGAAAGAGGCACCATTGTGGTAGAATTAGTTAGAGTGAAGTAACACATAAAAACAACCTCAGAGGGTTCAGCGCTAAATAAAAAACAAATATCTTAAGCTACGTTCACACTGCGGTCCTTAATTACGCTCAATTATGATTTTTTTTTGTGAAAACCACAATTTTCTACATGGTCGTCCATATGTCCTAATTAGGGATGCACGATATTGGGATTTTGGCCGATATGCCGATATTTTAAAACTCATGTAGCCGATAACCGATA